AATGCCAACCTTTAACCAGGTAAAGATGATGCTTCTCCCATCTTGGAAGATATTGAGATGCTAAGTTTGAATACAAAAAATGCTGTCTTCTAAAGGCTGTCTAATGTTGCCATTGTGGTTACATATTGCATTGCAGAAAATCCAACATAATTTCTGGTAAAACCTGAGTGAAAGAAAGGGAGAACTGTGACCCTTACAGTACTTTTGTTTTTCTAAAATAAAACTTGAGGGGCTCCTGGGTGGCTCATTCATTGTCTGCCTTCAGCTCAGCTCATGATCCCAGAGTCCTGGGATCAAGCCCTGCGATGGGCTCCCTGCTCAGCAGGAAGCCTGCTTCTCCCACTCCGCTCCCCCTTCTTGTGTTCCTTCTCTCGCTGTGTCTCTCTCTGTCAAATAAATAAATAAAATCTTTAAATAAAATAAAACTTGATGCTTTTTATGCAAAGCTTAAAATTTCATACAGTGAATTTTCACATTGGATATGTTGAATTTGAGCATTCCTTTAGGAAATGGTTACTGCGTTAAATTTCAAATGATTTGAATAATTTTTTAGTTGCTCAGTGGAGGATACTGCTGCTTTGAAACTTGGTAGAAAGCTTGTTCTATCCTTGCTGGGTATGCCTAAATGTCTCCTGGAAAACAAGCTCTGTACTTGGGACTGCTTCTTGAAATCAAGTAAAACAGAGTGATTCCCATCTATTTCCTCCACTTGGATTGAATGGGATTTATTGAGAAAGGTAGCAGTGTTATTCTTGGATAACTTAGTTGTAGCGTATCTTTGATAATTTTTTCCCATTCAGAGCTTTCCAAATTATATCTGAAAATGTTATTTTCCAATTAATACCTCAGATATTCAAGAACCCTGCGCAGTACGTTATAGAAAGGGAAAAGAAAATTACATATTTTAAGAATTACTGCGTGCTTGGTATTTGCAAAACACCTGTATTTAAATAATCCTTGTGGCATTTTTGTGGGTGGCATTATCTCAGTTTTAAACACCTGTGAAAATAGAGTGGACGTCACTGGCCTTGAAGATAGGCAGCTTGTTAAGTGGCAGAGGTGGGATTTGAAATAAAAGTTAGGTTTTTAAAATCCAGAAAGTGGGACGCCTGAGTGGCTCAGTCAGTTAAGCGTCTGCCTTCACCTCGGGTCATGATCCCAGGGTCCTGGGATCGAGTCCCACATCGGGCTCCCTGCTCAGCTGGGAGAGCCTGTTTCTTCCTCTGCCTGCCGCTTCCCCCCTGCTTGTGCTCTCCCTCTCTTTCTCTGATAAATACATACATACATACATAAAAAATCCAGAAAGTATTTTTAATTGCTCCATACCTATTTCTTGCTCTAAATCTTTCAGTCCTAGCATACTGAGGAAAAGGTATCAATTTTTATGTGGTGGGAGAGAGATGTCTGTTAATACCAGAATAGAGCAGGGTATGCTATGCTGAGACCTGACATACCTGCTCAGCAGTACTCGAAATCTTGAAGTGTGGAAAACTTGACAGAGGTAGAAGAAATCTAGAAACCAAGGGACGGAAAGGTGAGAATTATGTAAGAGGAGATAGGGATGGCAGGCAGCTTGAGGCTTTTGCTAATGGGATATTCTGCAAGAAGATGATGATGATTTAGTTCTGTGGTCAGATATGCAGAGAGGTTACACTTCTCCCTTTTCCATTTACCTTAAAGTTATTTTAAAGGGATAGTTCTTTAGTAATCCACAGAATACTTTTGTTTAGAATAGTTTATTTCCAGACTTTTGCCAGATAGTTTTGATTTGTCTATAGATGGAAGGTTATTGGGATATATATAGATAGAAGGATGTTGAGCATATAAAACAACACGAGGATATAATTTTAAGATATTTTAACTCAAATGATCACCAAATGTTGGACTGTAAAGCAAGAGAGCAGTCAGTGCTATATATATATAAAATTTTATTGTGAGAAAATATATATAACCTTAAATTTATCATTTTAACCATTTTTAAGTGTACCTACAATTCAGTGACCATTAAGTTACATTCACATTGTGCAACCATCACCATCATCCATCACCATTCATCTTCAGAACTTTTTTTTAATCTTCCCAAGCTGAAACTGCACCTGTTATTAATTCCCCAATCTTCTCTCCCTGTAACCTCTGGTAACCACCTTCCTACTTTCTGGATTAGTGTAGGCACCTCATATAAGTGTAATCATAGAATATTTGTCTCTTTGTGACTGGCTTATTTCACTTAGCATAGTGTTCTCAGGGTTCATCCATGTTTGTAGCATGTGTTAGAATTTCCTTCCTTTTTAACACTAGAGAATATCTCATTGTGTGTGCATACCACATTTTGTTTATTCATTCTTTTGTCCTTGGATTGCTTCCTGGAAAGGCTTCTTAGAGTATTGGTGTAGTGGACAAGATAATAGAATTTCTAGACTTGTTAACTTTCTACTTGTGCTTTGGTCAAGTTGCTTTTTAGATGCTTGGTTTTTAATTTTAGGAAAATACACATTCTGTGTAAACAGTGAAGATTTACCTAAAAAAAAAAAAAAGACTTTAATTTTTGGTGTACCTCAGGATTTGTCCTCTCTCCTAGACTTTCCCCACACTTGGGAATATATCATGCTACTTCCTACCACCCCAGAACATTGTGACCCACTTCCTCTGAGTAGGTGGTAGCCGGGTGGAGGTTGTGTTTATGGGAGGGTGGGGGGCTCTGAGGTTATACTAATGAGTCCATCTCCTTTGACCCTTTTGTGAATAACTGGCTCTATGTTCAAGATCCCCAAGTTTTGCTTCAATTCAGACTTGGAGAGTGAACTATCTAGTGGATGTTTTCACTTCTGTTTTAGTATTCAGAACTAGTCCTCACTGATATCACTACTACCTGCCACCATCCCCCTTGAAAAGAAGTGGAAAGGAGAGAAAACCTGGAGTCCAGGATTGTATAAACCAAAGAAGCTCAGAGGTTTGAGAAGGGAGGTGGGGTAGTGGTGGCCACTTGTATCTCATGCTCAGAAGAGGGCATGCAGGGTGAACAGCAAGAAGCAGTTACTCGATTTGTCCATTAGTAGAGCATTGATGATCTGTGAATCAGACCTTCTCCCCCTTCTCTCCCCACCAAATGTACATATTCGCAAAGCTTTGCATGTAGTTTTAGGGGAGTTATCTTCAAATCCATCCATAGTCCTCAGTTACGACCCACTGACTTAAAGCAATTTTGGTAGCTTAGACCCAGCCAGATGATGAGGGAAAATGGAAGAGGTGAAAGGGGAAGCAGAGACATTCTTGTTAAGATTTTTTGGGAAAAGGGAAGGGCAGAGATTGGTGGTTTTTCAGTAAGGAAGACTCAAGCATATTCATAGACAAATAACAAGGCATCCAGGAAGAGAGCGAGGGGATCATCCTTTGGGGACAGTATACAAGTGGATCATGAACCAAAGTTGGGAAACAAAGGGGAGAAATTGGAACAAATTTGAAGTGGAGAAGAATCAAGTTGAATTGATTAGCTGATAATTTTGAGTGGCAAGAAAATAAAGGCACTCAAATAATTTGCCAGCAGACCCAAAATGACTAAAGAAAATTATTGGCTAGTTTCTCCAGGTTTTTAACATTGTTTACTTCACGTGAGTTTTTTTGTAATGTAGGGTGTATGAAAATGGAAAACAAAAGTGAAAGAGAGGCTGCTCATTCATGTTCTCTTTTGTATTTTCACTTTATGTATTGAACATTTTTCTATGTTTTTAGCCTCACCAGTATTTGATATTATTGGTCTTAAACTTTGTTGTTACACAAATTTTATAAATGAAACAAAATCTTGTTAGGGACCTATCTCTGGGTTAAGTGATTATTTATTTTTAAAGGTTTATTTATTTTAGGGGTACCTAGGTGGCTCAGTCAGTTAAGTGTCTGGCTTCAGCTCAGGTCGTGATCTCAGGGTTGTGGAATCGAGCCCCTCAACCCCGAGATCATGACCTGAGTCAAAATCAAGAGTCGGACGCTTAACTGACTGAGCCACCCAGGTGCCCCAAGTGATTATATTTAAATTGGAGGGTAAACATGGACTGTTCTGGACAAAATGGAAAGTATGGTCGCCTTATAATGAAATACCTATAACTCATCAGCTAAGGCTCTCAATCTCATGGCACAATTCTCAATCACCAGGGGAGAATTTATGGAAAGTACTGATGCCTAGGCTTCACTCTCAAATGCAGTAATTTATTCAATCTGCAGAGGGGTGTGCACATCAGTGTTTATTAAAGCATCTCAGATGATTTTAGTATGCAGCTAAGGATGAGAGCCATTGGTCTAATGAATATATAGAATTGAGGCTTTGCTGACATTCCCCTATACACCTTTGCTGGTGAGGTAACAAAGAATTCCATTGTTAAACAGTTGTGGTCTGTAGCCCTGTCATGCCTGGGAATGCCTGTGACCAAAACCTTGCCAAAAGTGGAGAGTCAGGGTCACTTGACTGACTTGGTTGTTTAGGAATAGTAGTACATAGTTTGAACTTTTTCCAAAGAAAAATTCCCCCAAAGTTTTAAAGTTTCTGTTAAAACCTGTTATAAGCTTGTTCAAAAACCATTTATAATGCCCTAGTACCAGTGATAAATGTTAGTTGTGCAATCTTTCCTGAAATGTTTTTAAAAATAACATTTTGTTACCTGGTTTATGTCTTGAATATACATATTTTTACAGTGTATTGAAGGTATTAGCAAATCGAAGACAGTTTTTGCCATTCCATGATTGAATCAAAATGGCAACTAAATACCTTGATAATGTCTTTGGAATCCCAAAAGAAAGCTGAAACATAAAAGGCTGTGGTTTGGTACAAGCTGATCTACAGTTTTCAGTTTAAGTTGAATATGGTATTAATGAGACTTTAGCTTTTCACCTTATCCTCATTATATAGCCACCTTCTCTTGACTAGATTCACTGGTAGTACTAAGATTGAACAGTTCCTTAATTCATGATTTTTAAATCTAAAACAAATGTACTTTTTTTTTTTCTTGTAGGTTATGCAATGGTCTCTGCAAGATGGTTTATTCTTAAATTGGAGCTTTTTAAGACTGACAAATGCTGGTACTTCATCTTCTATAAGTGGACTATAATTTCTTTTCTCAAGACAACTACATAAGCAGACAAAATTGCAAAGATCTGCCCTGTGTCGAGTATGACAGCCACGACTCGTGGCTCTCCAGTAGGAGGGAATGACAGCCAGGGCCAGGCTCCTGATGGACAGTCTCAGCCCCCCCTCCAACAGAATCAGGTAGGATGTTTAAGATACTAGTTAAAGCTACATTGGCATGTCTACTATGAGATACTAAATAGTGGAGCATGTTCTGGGTGCCTGGGTGGCTCAGTCGGTTAAGTGTCTGCTTTGGGTTCAGGTTATGATCACAGAGTCCACTGGATCAAGCCCTGCATCATCGGGGAGCCTGCTTCTCCCTCTCCCTTTGCCTGCCACTCTCCCTGCTTGTGCCCCTTCCCCTCCTCGCTCTCCGTCTCTTTCTCAAATAAATAAATAAAATCTTAAAAAAAAATAATGGAGCATGTTCTGAATAATTTGAGAAGTAACCATAAAACTGTTAAAGATAGGTAAATATAGGTCTCCCACAGTAATGGTAAGAAAGCTCAAGTGCTATAGATGGTGATGCTTGAGTATGTAGCCCCTCTTTTGCTGGTGTCTTACACAGTCAGTCATCAAATGAAATATTTAATCCCTGTGTCAATTCCAGAGCAAAACATTAAATCATTCAGTATAGCCTATGGTAAAGAGCATGGACTCAGGTCATGTTTCTGTTCAGATTTGAGCTTTTCACCATGCTAGTCTAAATAAATGACTGGGTAAATTAACCTCTGAGCCTCAGTTTTTCATCTGTAAAATGGGGTTAACAGTAGTAACTACTGCATGGGATTGTGAAGAGGATCAAGTGAAATAATGTTTGCAAAGAGTTTAAAATAGATTTTGATATCAAGGTTTTATGCTGGCCTTAAAACTCAGAGGATAATATTTTTTTCTATTCTGTGGATGAATTTGTGTAAGAGTTCTGTTATTTTTTCATTAATTATTTGGAAGATTTTCTTGGTGAAACCATCAAGGTTTTAATAGATCCAGCTTTTTTTAATAGGGGAATTTTCTGATTTCTATTTGGGGGGGGGTTGTGTGTATGTGTCTTTTGGTAAGTTGTGTCTTTCATGGAATTTGTACCCTCACCTAGATTGTCAAATTTATAGAAGTAAAGTTGTTTCTCATATGCTTACTACCTTTTTAATATCTCAAAGTCTATGGTAATCTCTCCTTTTTCATTTCTGATACTGCTAATTTGCATTCCCTCTCCTCATACTCTTTCCTAGAGATTCATCAATTTCATTAAACTTGCCCCAAAACCAACTTTTGGCTTCAGTTCTCTCTCCCCTCCCTACTTGTGTGCTTTCACCATTATATCTGTTCCCTTTGTTTCCTTTGAATTTGCCCTATTATTTTTCTCTTTCCCTGAAGTGGAAGTTTAGTAATTGATTTTCACCTACTTTTTTTTTAAGATCTTATTTATTTATTAGAGAGCGAGCATAAGCAGGGGGAGGGTCAGAAAGAAAAGGAGACTCCCCGCTGAGCAGGGAGCCCCACTTGGGTCTCGATCCTAGGACCCTGGGATCATGACCTGAGCCAAAGGCAGACGCTCACCCGAATGAGCCACTCAGGCGCCCCTCAGCTACTTTTTCTGATAAATAAACTAGTATTGGGTAATACCCAGATAAGACAAACATACTAAAATTTATGATGTGCAGCTCAAACAACGCTTACAGGTGAATTTATAGCTGAGGTGCATGCACATGAATCACAGACATACTGCTTACAGTTGGTGTATGTTTATGTAGAATTCTGTATGGATAAGTTTTTAGGCAAAAATATTGTTATTGTAGGGTACTTAAGTTTGTCACTTGGGGATAAGTTTTTTTTTGGTTTTTATTTGGGGATAAGTTCTTATTGTCCAGTTATTATAGATTAGATAATCTATTACAGGAATGGTAGAAAAGAGACGCACATATGCTCTCTCCCCCTTTGCCCTCCTTTCTTCTCCCTCTCCCATTTTAGAGAAGTGAGCAAGTCAGGTTTAACTTTTATTTTTCCAAATAAATGTGTCACCTTTATTCCTTTTCCTCTCCAGTTCCCATGTTTAAGCCATAAAATACTGAAGTATATAGTCACAGGTATTGGACAGAATCATTAAGTCTTTCTTGTGTCATAAATTTGTTACCTAGTATTTAGATTTCTTTAAACATAGAGGTTTGTGTTGGATGCCAAAGAATCTATTTTTAGGGGTGCCTGGGTGGCTCAGTCGGTTAAGTGGCTGCCTTCGGCTC